AAAAAAAAAAAAAAAAGCATAAGCAGGGGCCAGGGAGATGGTTCAGTAGAATAAGCACTTGCCTGGCAAGCCAGGGGCCTGATTTCAATACCCAGTCCAGAAAAAAAAAAAAAAAGCATAAGCAACAAAAACAAATATAGATAAATGGGATTATATAAAATCATACATCTTCCACACAGCAAACAAAACAATTGATAAAGAGACAACCTGTGGAATTGGATAAAAGATTTACAAATTCTATACCTGGCAATCACTTTATAGCCCAAATATATAAACAGGGGCCGGGGAGATAGCTCAGTAGAATAAGTGCTTGCCTGGCAAGTGCAAAGGCCTGAGTTCAATCCCCGGTTCTGCTCAAAAAAGAAGAAAAAAGAAATTGCCAAATATATAAACAATTCAAAGAACTCAACAACAAAAAGACAGCTAACCAATTTTGTAAAAATTGCCAAAAAGGCCTGATTAGCCCTGACTCAAAAGAAGACATAGAAATAATGAAAACATACACAGCAGGCACAGGAAAGTGAGTCAGCATCAGCGATCATCAGTGACACATAGATCCAAGCCACTGTTAGACGTCGCCTCACACCTGTTCCAACAGTTCTTATGAAAATGGAACAAGGATTGATAAGGATGTGCAAAGAGAACCCACATACACTGTCAATGGGAATACACCATTATGAACAATAATATAGCGATTCCTCAAAAATTAAAACAACTATCGTACAATTCAGCAACCACAATATTGAGTATATATGGGAAGGAAATGAAATAGCTGTACTGAAGAGATATCTGCCCCTTCGTGCTCACTACAGCATTATATACAATAGCCAAGATACAGTGGAAGAAACTGTGATATAAATACACACAACAGAATACTATTCAGCCATACAAGTGAAATCCTGTCATTTTCATAAATGTGGATAAATTTTGAGGAGCTTGTATGAAATGAGGTAAGCTAGCCACAGAAAGTCAAGTGCCACATTATTTCACTCATGTGTAGAATGCAAAAGGGATTGCTCTCAGATAAGTACACAGTATAATATAGTATGGTGCTTATAAGAGGTTAAGCTGTTGGGGGTGAAGAGTGAAGATAAGAAGTTGATTAAAGTCACATAATTTCAGCTGGAGTTGGGCATAGTGCAACCTGGTTTCAAAAAAACAATCCAGTTGGAAAGAAGAAAAAATTTCTGGAAGTCTGCCATACAGTAGGTGATTTTAGTTACAGATGGTATATTATATCTTTGAGAACACACAGGGTGGATGTTTACTGATATTACTGCTAAACATGCTTCAAATATGAGGTAATGCATTTGTTGATTAGCTAAACTTAACCATTTTACAAGCACATGTACTTTAAAATATAAAATGCAATATAAACATGTATGGTCAGTGGTCAATTTTTAAACAAAGAAGATAGGAAATGGTAGTATGGTGGTCTTGTCTCTCTCCATACAAAAACCTATAAGACAATAAATAAGCCAGCAAATTCAGCATGCAAAACAAAACAAGGTAGCCTCACCTCCCAAGAAAAGTCCTAGAGCCGGTATCATGAATTTCCACATAGTCACTTGTGCAATTGTAATGAAACTGCAGATGAAATTCATCAAACACCAAACGGATCAGTTGACCAGGCTGGACTAATATATTCCAGGTACAGGTAACACCACTGGGGTAAACATTTGGATGACCAGGACTTTTAATAATTCCAGATGCCGTGGTAAGAGTTCCTCCACACACTGTTAAAATAAAAATAATTATAATTACCAAAGCAGGTAATCAACAATCCACCTGGACTGTAAAATAAAATATGCCAATTATTTCTCCTTACAATCTCAAAGGAAAAATGTCATTTTTTTATCTGCCATGTAAATGTAAGTTAACTTTTCTTTTACTAATAGATACAACTAACAATATGATTGAAAATACACATTTTGTCTTTAAGCATTCTTAAAATTTTTCAGAGTACACATGAATTTTATATAATTTATTTCTGTTGTTCCTTTATTGTGATAGGAAACTAAACGGAAGACAATGAGGCCATCTCTTACCCAAATCCTGAGCACCGAACACAGCCATAAAACCATGATTTTCAAGGGAAGAACTCTTCACAAATGTGACATAGAGAACATTGTGCACAGATGTTATCAGTGAAGGGATCTGGTTACCACAATACTGAGTATTTTCAGAAGCACCCAAAACGGAACTGCTACCAATCTAAAGTAAAACAGACATATTAGGTTTATTTTGTTAGGCATTTATTTTACCAAGCTACTTTGAAGATAATTATGTCTGAAATATTTATATTAACATAGTAAAAATCAATTTGAGAATATTTCCACTGCTTCACGAGAAATCCATGCCCATCACTGGTCATTCTCCATTACCCTGAATAAGAGACACAGGCAGCCACTGTGCCACTCTCTGTCCCTCTAAATTATCTATTCTGGGTACATCATACAAAGGGAATCATCCAACATGTGGATTTTTGTGATTACCTTCTTTCAGATTGTATATTTTCAAACTTCAACCATGTTGAAGCATCAATTGATACCTCATTCCTTTCTAATGCCATTTCATTGTATGACTATATTCTGTTTAGCTTATTCAGTTATCAGTTGATGGGGATTGGTTTCCATTTTAAAATAATGAATAAAATTATGTTTTAGATATAGACTGCAGGTGTAGACATACATTCTCATGTCTCAGCAGTAGGGCTTTTGGACAGTGATGGGATCATGGTGGCTCTCTATTAAGCTGTGGAAAATCAGGAGCTGAGCATAAGCCTTAGAGGCAGACATGGCTGGCTTGGAAGGACACTTCTCTCTCCCTCACTCTACCTTTTGCTCCCCACTTCCTGACCTCCTCACCATGGCATAAACTGCTTTTATCTGCCCGGCTCCCTCACCATGCCATGCTGCTTTGAAGCCTGCCAGTCACTGTTGCACCCCATGAATTGGAGCCCAAACACCCCTCCTCCTGTGTTACAGAGGTGGGCCTGTGTCTCAGAAATGCATCTTTAGGACTTATAATCATTTTACGTGCTGTTTACATCTCTCACCAGGAATACTGAATTCTTTTAATGTTTCTAATAGTAGGTAAGAATAGGTCTTACACTTCTTATGCGAGATATATTCCTTAACAATTATTGTTTTGATGCCACTGCAAATGAAATCATTTCCTTTAGCTTTCACTTTCAAATTCTTCACTGCTAATATATTACAAAAGGAATTAGTTTCAAATTTTGATCTTATAACCTGCCACCTGCTGGATTGATTAGTTCTACTAGTTCTTTTAATGCGTGTGGATTCCTTGTGAATTTCAGTTCATGCAATGTGAGTAGAGATAGTTTTGTTCCTTTCTTTCCATTCAAGATGCATTTGATTTCTTTTCCTTATTTAATTGCCCTAGCAAGAATTTCCAGTACAGTGTTCACCTGAAGAAACAGAAATCTTTGCCTCTTTCACTGATCATTAGGGCAACGCGTTTAGTATTTCATCATTAAATGTTTTATATGTGGGAGCTTTTTAGATGCCTTTCTACAGGAAGGAAATTCGTGTTGAAAATATTTGGATTTTGCCAAATGTTTCTTCTGTATCTATTCAGGTGCTAATATTGTTTCTATCTTTATTTTATTGATGTCATGTATCATATTCATTGATTTTTTTTAATATCAGAACAACCTAGACTTCCTGGCAGAAGCCCTACTTGTTCATGGTACATAATTCTATCTATATGCTAGATTTAGTTAGCTAGTAGTTTGTTAAGAATTTTTGTCAATATTATTAAGAGACAACAGTTTATCCAAATGACACTCTTTCACATAATTGATTTGAGCACAACATGACATCATTTTTAACAGCATATAACAAAATATAAATGCTGGAAGGCCTTTCACACTTACCTCAACATAATCTGTGTTACAGAGGTTGAAAGTTCCAACTCCAAAGCCAGTAAAGTTGAGAAGCACTACTTGGCCTTGAGGTTGGTAGATGGTCCACCTACAGGTTCTTTCCCCAGGATATGCGTTAGGGTAAAATGGTGAGCGAATGACTCCTTCTCCAGTTAACTGGCCCCCACAAGCTATGAATATAAAAATATCCAGAAATAAATAATCCTTGATCTTAATTTTATTGTATCATCTAATGTGACATTTATGGGAATATATTCCTTATTCCTTGAGAATATAATATTATTGTATTATATTCAAGAAATTAAAATGCCAGAAGTAAATTAGAAATTTAAAAATTAAGCAGGAGTTTCCTTACCAACTTGATAAACAGCTCTGAAGCTAGCCTTTTGAGCAGCAGTGTCTATTTTAAACCTGATCCAGATACTACTAGTGATAGATCTAATGGGGGGAAGGATTTCATTGCCACAGACTTTTCCAAGTAAAGTTTCATCATCCCGAACCTAAACAGGAAAAGAAGACAGAGCTGTAATTTTAATCAATAATCCTATTTTGGTAATGTATGATCATTTAGAGATGAGATAATGGTAGATTCAAAGTGGAAAATGGTTTTATTGGGGTAATATTTATATTTGAAAATGGTCAGTGGATCATTTTTAGCACAGTGTGCTAACATTAAATTTTTATTTTTATTTATTTATTTTTTGTGGCTGGCTCAGCCCACCCTGTGGGCAGGGCTAGCACGGCATGTGGTTCTGGGGATCGAACCTAGGTCCCTGTGCTTGCCTAAGCTTGCCTAATCAGATGCTTTAGTCCACTGAACTATCTTGCCAGCCCATTAACACTAAATATTAATAAAATCTGCACAAATAAAATTCCCAAATATAACCATTGTAAAGGTGCCCTCCTAATAATGCCCACCATGTCAAGAAGAAATAAACTTACAATTTTAGACTACTTTGAAAATATAAAAAATATGAACCCTGCACATAACAAAAATAAACATCTAGCTAAATTTGTAATCAAAATAAATTCTAAAATAAGCTCTTTTCATTATTGAATAAAAATAAGAAAGATAAGAAAAGTAAATGGGATGATGAGATTTAGAGAAAGGAGACAGAGACCCTGTAAGAAATCAGTTTTAAAAATTGGAAAGAATGCATTAAAATGAGAGAAAATAAAGTAAAAATAAAAGCAAAGCCGACTACAGTACAAAAGAAAGTATATTTCACAAATACATTCAAGAGCATTTGAGGCAAGTTAGGGGATAAAAGGGATGTGATGATAAACCTTTAGCAAATCTTAAAAAATAGGAAACAACTAATACAATAAATTTTAAATTATTGAGGCACTACAAATACAAATATTTTAAGAAATATTTTAAATATAATTGTACGTATACTCCTATGGCAATATATTTTAATCTTTATGATGGATTTTTTTCTGGAAAAGTTACTAAAATTATCTCAAGAAGAAGAAAAACAAAATCTAAATAGACATAAGCGTTTTCTGCCGAGTTCCGGGAGCCCCCAGACCCAGTCCTAGCCCAGGTCAGGTGAGTGTGCGGAGAG